GGGTGATTGTTCGCGAACGAGACCGGGAACACCGCCGCATCGGAAACCACGGTCCCAGGCTTTCATGGCGAATTGGTAATCTTCAGTGAGGGAGCCGAGGTCCCAGGTGACAGCGTTTTCGACGAGGCCATTGGTAAGGAGGAAGGAACCGTGGGCACCAAAGACGGGGCGGTGGAAGTAGGTGTACCTAGGGAGAAAGAAAGAGATGGGATTATTAGTACAGATGTTTAAAAAAATAAGGTGTTGGGGGCATCTGGTGATGACGCTGAGAACTCAAATAGTCAAGAGCCCCGCAATATCTTAATAAAGAGAACTGTTCGTGAGCGACCAAAAGTCCAGCCATTGAAAGCCTTCGCTTCATTCATGTCTCGCTCCACTCGCCCAAAACGAAAAAAGAAAAAAGAAGTACTCACTGAAGGTGAAACCTCGACAAATCATCACCAACACGAATGGCATCTCCAACCGTGAAAATCCAATTTGCCCAATACTTGTACTGATTATACAAAATAACACCCTGTCCGAAATGGTAATCGGTCTGATACCACACAAACTCCAAAATATTCTTTACACTTTCATCATCAATCACACTCTCCTCGTCCAAATGCAAGATCCAGTCATACTCTGTGAATCTCATGGTCTGACGGTACCACTCTAAAGCACGGGCCTTGTACTTTGAGTTTCCAGAGACAAAGGATTTGGGACACGTGTAACAGTTGATGTTTTCGAAAAAGTAGGGCTCGTCGGTTAAAACGTGGATACGAATACAGGGGTGGAGACGTTCGAGGTGTTTATGGGCATCCCAGGCTCGGTAGACGGCTTCACGGTTATCTCCCTTGGTGACCGTGAGGATGTAGAGGTTATCGATACGGCGTTTTTTGACGCCTTCTTTCTCGAAATTGAGGAACTTGTTTGTGCGGAAAGGGATGACGAGACCAAAGAAACACACGAGGGTGTATGGGAGAGGGAGGAGCCATCCTATAAAAAAAAATAAGGAATTGGGGTTAAAATAGAATAGATGTTGACTAGACATGCATGGAGAATGAAAGAACAAGTGACGCGTAAAAACAAAACACGCGTCACCAAACAAATAGACAAAACTAAGAAAAAAAAACAACAGCCTTCTATGGTGGCGGTGTAACACAAATCATCAAAAAAAAACACAAAAAACGAGTGAAACACAAAGAGAGGAGAGCTCCAAGGAAGAGTAAAATAATGAAGGCCATTAAATGCCCACATCATCGTCAAATAAATACCCGTCCATATCTCTTACATACATACATTTCCCATCAACGTCAATAAATCTCACTCAACCATTTGTAAATAGAATAAATACAGAAAATGCCTACAAACAAGAGAGAAAAACCACAGGAAAAAACTAGAGGGAATATCTAAAGAATAACTGAAAATATCTTTACTTACCAATCTTCCAGTAACATGCAATATTCCAAAGCTGCGTATCCGTGTACCCCTGCAACTGTCCCAACGTGAACGTCATCAGATACGTTCCTCCCAACAAAAAGATCAAATTAAACAACCACATCTCTGACAACAGGTTCATCACCGCCCTCGTGTTGCCCAAATTCGTCTTGACATGCGGCTTGCTGGGATCATCGACAAGCGCATACGAGATACTGGGAACATTGGGTTTGTCGGTTTCTTGACCAGCAGCTGCAGAAGCCTTCTTTTGAGTCGTTGGAGGAGGTGGTGCCATACCAGGAGGACCGGGTGGACCAGGGGGGGGACCAGGAAGGTAGGCGCCAGGCGGTGGAGCTTGTTGACCGTAAAAGGGATTGAATCCAGGAGGAGGGGGCCCGCCCATCATCATGTGAGGAGGAGGGGGAAGGCTTGCATGCCGGGAGCGGGAGGGAAGGGAGGGAAGGCGTTGGGAGCGTTGGGGTTGTATTCAAACCCAACGTTTGAAGCTTCAGAGGCAGAATCAACCCATCCCTGCTGCTGTTGTTGTTGATGCTGTTGGAGGTGGGACGGGAGGGGGGCAAAGGGTTGCATTTGCTGCTGGAGTTGTTGGGGTGGGGGAGGTTGCTGTTGGAAACGGGGATCCATGAATGCACCCGCTGCTGCTTGAGGAGAAGAAGGGCCAGCTGCTGCTGCTCGTTGAGACATTGGGGGAGGAGCCTTCATCTGAGAGTTGTTTCTAGGAACGGGAGCTTCTTGCATGTCATCATCCTTTAACACCACTGGTGGTGGTGATGGTGATGGTGATGACGATGACGATGACGATGAAGATCCCTTGTTCTCCATCTTGGTTTGTTCTCCCTTACTCTAACTCGAATAGGGAGGATGAGGATGAATGAATGAGGATGATGATGAAGGGGGAGGGTGTCGATGGAGTAGTGAGTGAGTCAGTGGAGTGAGGTGATGTTGGAAGAGGCGTCCCCCTGCCGTTTCCAGAGATCTATTATGTATTTACTATATAATAATTGGTGAAGGGTGATGAGCGAGTGAGGGGAGAGAGGAAAGGAAAGGGCAAAAAGGTCAAAAATTAAAGTAATGTTACACGCAGTAGTACAAAGGAATTCCTCATTTCTTTTTTTTTTTTTTTTTTTTTTTTTGTTTAATTCTGGGGAACTTGGCCGTTCACTTATTCCAACGTCGTGTCCATCAACGACACCTCAAAACCCATATACCTTTCACGGCTTCCTTCAACATTCTGGCGCTCAACACCTTTACTCCTCCTGCGACCCTGCGTCATGCAGTCCGCTCAAGGTTCCCTTACCTATACCCACCATCCCATCCACCCCTTCTCTCAACCACAGCAGGTAACTCGCCTCGGCCCTTCGCCCTGCATTTCCATCTCTGCAAGGATTCCACTGGGCACTACCGCACTTCTTCTAAAACTGAGCTATAACTTTGTTTTCTTTTAGTTCTTCCAATTATTCACAAAAATTACATGATAAAACATTGTCTCTTTTATACGAAAAAAAGGTACCGTTATCTCATCCTATTGCAATTGTAAAAAATATGTAAAAGCTCGCAACGGATAACCGTAATGCTCATATCACAAAGATTTTAAGAAACAGGGTCAAAATCGAACTGCAGTCCTAGATATATCAAGAGATAAAATAGATAGCGATAGCATATTATAGAATATTGAGTAAAAAAACTGTCGCTAGGATGACTAGGCTTTTCTTGTATGAATGTGTCGATGGATGTAGGAGGAATAGGGCAACCAAGTGATTGATACGGAATGTCCAGGCTGATGCGCGTTCACCCGATGTCATCAGCCCTCTTCCATCAACCACTGCTACAGACTCCTCAAGTGATCTACACTTGAGGTACCGTCACTTTCGTTTTGGACAAGTCTTTTTCCTCAGCCTTGCTGAGTATGAATTTCAACAGTCACTCTCAAACGAAGCAAGGTGGTACCGTTTGAGTCCAAGATCAGTGACTCGACGCAATCCCGGTGGAGTCTCGGTGTCTGCGGAAAGCGTTGCGCGGTAAGGCTTATGTCAAATTTTGGCGGTGTTCTGGTGGGAACTTATGTATTGGACATCAAGATGCTTGTTTGCAATGGTGTTTGCAATGGCATCGCGTATATAATGTTTGGACAAAGAATCTTTGTCCGCTCATGAAACTCCGGGCTCCTTGCTAAGCGTATAGCCGGTTATTGTCCTCGTAGAGGAAAACGGGACGATATGGGACGCCAAGTTCTGCAAGTTTCGGATCCATACAATCTCTCGTGCGAATTCTGAAAGAGTTTGGTATTCTCCTTCGGCTATGGACCATAAGATTGTCCGAGATTCAAACTCTGCCAGCTTACAAGAAGGGTATCCAAGATGTAATTTGCTGTCGTTCAAATCAGTCATGAACAAGGCATCACAGTATCTGATGACTTACAATTATTGATTTGGTGGTTGAGCTGGTGTAATAGAGTCAGACATAAACAAAGATTCTGACTGCGGCTTGCCAGCGCGTTTTCTAAAGCGTCGCTCATTTACTTTGCAACCACAACAACAGAATAGGAAATATCGAGTCGCGTCTGCAAGGTTAGGCACAGGAGTGACCCGACTAGTGGAGACGGTCCTGACGATGCACGTTCCGATGGCTTGCGATTCCAGAGCTTCAGCTTGGATAATTCATTGGAGTAGTCGTCGTAGGTATTTGGTGGAAAGTACTTGTTCTTGAGGTCGTTGACGTATTTGTTTTGGTCAACCTAAACCGTCACAGATGTATTCAACACCAAGACCAAAAGAAGCGGACGCAAGTAGCTTGAGTTCTAAACCGTTATTAGCCATCTTAATGGCACTTTTGGTATCAAAGAAAAAGCCATCGTCAGCGTAAATTGCAATAAGGACTTTGTTGAACTTGTGGATGAGCATGTATAGGCAAAGGTTGGCGTGTCTTGGAACAAAACCTACTTCAATGAGGTGGTCGATCAGGCATTTGTTCCTTTGAAGTCTGGCTTACTAACGACGTGTCGCCACCTATTCTACATTTCACCCCGATGTCCGATGATATTCGCTTTACCTTCACCAATCTTACATCCATGTTTGCAGAATGGTGCGGTCGCATCTCTGCCTTTCTCATCACCCTCCTCCTCACCTCCACGCCACCTCAATACACTTGGAACTTGTTGAGTCGCAGATTCGGTTGCTGTCATTTCGATCATGTACCACTTAGTCCATGTTGTGCCATACAGGTAAGCGGTGAACGTCTGCCATGTGTATAATTTCCATCCAAGGCTGATGGTAAACGGTCTAAGACGATTCATCGTCCTCAGCCTTGCTGATTGTAAATGCCCACAAGAAACAAAAAGGTAAGTGATTTTAGAATAAACGGCCCCGCTACGTTCACATACATCCTCTTTGCCTACCACTAATCTAACCTATTTGTACTTCTCCTCTTTTCATCATCAGCTCTTAATCCGCAATGTAATAATAATGAGTAGTGGATGGGAAACTCGTATTAACACCACCGTTACTGGGAGCGACAATATAGTTATAGGTTATGCTGAGGTTAACGAAAGAAAAAAAAGGAAAAAACGAACGTGCCAGGGGTCGAACCTGGAATCTTTCGGTGTCTTTTGTAGAATTCAGTGTCGAACTGAAGACTTGACAATCGAAGCCGAACGCGGTAACCATTTCGCCACACGTCCTTTTTTTTTTCTGAAATTTTTGACAATACTTATTGCAATCACAATTAAAGCTTCTTTGTGTAACCGAAGCACGTTGCTTGTTAAGCTTTTTTGTTCTTACTCCACGTTTCTACTTTCTAACCACTTCTTGTTCAGTGACTATACTATCGACGGGCACTAAAGTTGAAAGAATTATGGGTATCAGCAAAAACATCCTGCAATATTATTTTGGAGCAGGGTGAACCGCCTTTTTTTATATTTCTTGTCCAATTGTTACTTAATCTTTTTGGTTACGCCCATTCTCATTATTTATTTATTTTGGTCTCTTTACGCACGCGATGGCTTTGGACATAATGCCGCCCTTATTGCCTCGCTTGCTGAGCAGTAAACGCACCCTTATCGTTTTCTTGATTTACGTACACCTCGCTGCCGTCGTCGCCTCACTCTATTTTGTGTAAAAAACTTCTCCCTCCATTCCCTTTCCCTAAACTCTGTTTAAATGTAGATATGCCTCCGAGAATGAAAAGTGCCTTTTTTATTTCTTGCAATATGATCAACACCCCTCCCTTTTTCTTTTGTTGTATTCTTGTTGAGCACCTCTCCCCCACTTTGAGTGAATTTGTATAACTTTTAAAAATATATGCGCGTTATGTGTTTTTTGTGCTTTATTGCCGTGAGGTTGTGGAGGATATTTCTATGGCAACAATGTAGGTAATTGGTTTTAAAAAAAGATGGTTATTTCAACAGGGAAAAAATTAAACTTAAGGTCTCGCCGAGATTCGAACTCGGGTTACCGGTATCAAAAACCGAGGTGCTAACCACTACACTACGAAACCTGAAAATTTTCTGAAAAAATTTTATACGCATACATATTCCAAACATTTTTCTACGGGTATCAAGGGAAAACCGTTCAGATCTAAAAACATAAAATCCAACCCTAATCCTGCAAATATCCCAACAATAATTCCTCACCTCACCACCCACACAAAAAAAACCAATCTAACCGTCCTCATCACCACCGTCTTCATCTCAATCCGTCATGGCCTCCCTTTCCGCCACCCGCAACCCCTGCATCAGCTCCGGGTACGCCTCACCGATAACTCATTGACGAAGGTAACAACTCGCAAAATTCTTATACAAGACAACCATAAACTCAACCATAACGGTAATGATGTTTTCCTCCTTGCATGTTTAGCACTGTCTTCTCTTTGATGGTTTACTTTTCTTGCTAAATTTCATTAGCTGGAGGTGGACACATGGACGTTGTAGAAGAACTGTGAGGAGAGAGAGGTGACGCGTGCGGTATCCCATGGCGTGTGTGAGGGCATATCCGTTTGTAAACTAATACTAATGTATTTACCGGGTTCTTCTTAAAAGAGCGTCATTTATTAAGTATATGCATTGTTGCGGTTCATGTCCGTTAAAACAAAATATAGCTGGTTCACGTACATGTGCAAACATTTCTACGCGTAAAACATTGAAAAAAAAATCTATAATTATCCAACCCTCTAAAACCTCACATACATCATCACTCTTTACCAAAACCCATTGAATACATTGGTGGCGCTTCCCCCATCACACTCTCTCTATCATTCCCACCACCTCCCACTCTCTGCGAATACATTCTAGGGGGTGCCGTCAACCCATCCCCGACCTTATGAGAATGCATCCCGCTCTTACGGTCATTGTAATCAAACCCTGCTTCCACAGCTTTTGGATGCGGAAAAACAGAGGTGGACGGTGCGTCGTCGTCGTAGGAAGGGTGTTTGTATTCGTCGTAACGGGATTTAGTGTTGGGGGTGTGTGGGTGAGAGAATAAGGTTTGTTTGGAATGGATGGGAGGGGTGTAGGGGATGGGAGGTGGGATTGTGGTCGGGGAATTGTGCGATGGTGAGGGGATGGAATTGGAGGGTACATTTGAGTAGCTGTTCCCAGTGGCGAAAGGCCCGTTCGAGTAGCTGTTGAGGGCATCACGAGGTTCGTTTGAATAGTTGGTCATATTGAATTGATCATTAGGTTGACGAGTAGTATTGTTTCCGGGGCCAGGGGTGCGTTGATTAACGTTCGTGGTATGATCATCGGGGAAGGAGGTTTGACTTGTAGGAGTAGGTGTCTTGACGATATCGTCGTCACGCTTCCTCCTTGCACTCCGACGAAGGAAAAAGAGAGCGGCAGCACCTACGACGGCAACAATAGCTGCACAAATCCCACCAGCAATAACAGGGATGTTAGGTTTTGAAGTAGATGCCATAGAATCCCCAGTGGAGGTAGGAAGAAGACCCCCCGTTGCACTTGCCACCGTCGCAGAAGTCGATACAGGGTTCTGTCCAGTTACAATATTAGCGTTGTTGATGAAAACGGTTTGTGGGCGTGCTGTAGCGATGCCGTCTGAACCTGTGATAAAAGAAGTGACAGTGACGAGCTGCGAAGTGGCTGCTGGAGATTCAGGGTTGTCGTTTGGAGGTTGTGACGTGGATGGGTTCTCAGATCCATTGGTTTCTGGGGCCGGCGGTTCTGGAATCGGGGAATCAGAGGGTGTAGGAGGTGATGGTGGTGCGGGTGGGGAAGGAGGGGCCGGTGGATCGACTACGACGGGAAGCCTCCATGAGCTGTAGAGAAAGAGACTCTTGACATCTACTTGGATGGGTCGTTGGTCGATGGTGATTGCGTCTGGATCGTCGATGAGACCGACATAGGAACCACAGTTGTTTGCAGCCTCGTTACTGCAGGGGCTGCAACCTGGTGCAGTGATAGCTTTAAAAAGCGAGAAAGAAGTTGTATTAGAATGTAGGTTGTAGATGGGAGTGTGATATGCATGACAAAAGTTGGAACATGAAACGAAGCTTGTGATGTGGGTATTTGCAATGAATTGAAGGATCGCCGGCAAAAGCCGTATCAGCGACGGTGACGAAAGTGAGGTAGGAAGCTCAACCTTAAATGGCAAACAGATCTTATCCTGCAAAAGTACTCACAATCTGTGACAAAGGTCCCTTCAACTCCCAACGGGCAGACAATAGCATGCCAAAGCTCTATTCGAAGACGAGACATGCGATATTCCCGCAAATAGTTGGCAGGAGCTGGGTTCGCTCTGCAGTGAGGTAGCATTGATTGACCGTTGTGTAGGAGGTGGATGGGGGAGATCTGCGCGGATGTAGCGACAGGCCATGATGGATGGACGACGGATGCTGGTGATGGTGATGATGGTGATGGTGCTGGGGAGTCACACGTTCTGTTTTACAGTGTGTCACCCTCAGCGAGCAATTTTGCCACGCGGCTGGATACAGCGCCAAGAATCCTTGGCAGGAATGATCGAACAACTGCTTTGCTAATAGAGTATAAATGGGTGTAAGTGGTAAGTAACCCTCTCCCTTTCTATATTCATTCATGCGGACATGACTTATTATTACCCCTTGCAGCTCTCTAATATATTCTAAGTATTTAATAAAAGAGGCTTCATACATACCTATTACATAGTGGTGTCTATGTGCTCTTTTTGCTACTTACCATCTGAGTGTATTGACATTGTTAAAGTATCAACTATATACAATAACGCTTTCACATCCGTGGTTTTAAGACACTCGGACTACAATAATGTCATTATCGTTTATAAAAAAATGTGGAAATACACCGCGGAAAGGAAGTATGCACCAACGTGTAAATAAAGAGACGTGGTTTATTGAATAATGTTGGAAACTGGCGTGTTGTGAACTTGAAGTGTAAGCATCAAAATAAGTAGTAAAAAAAGAGTTTGTTGTTGAAGAGTGTTTTGGGTTTTAAGTAAGGGGTGTCATCCGGAGAGAGTCTGCGGGGTATCTCGAGTGAGAGAAGGTAGGTGTAAAGAGGAAGAAGTACCTCGGGTTTTTATACTCATGCTGACTCTATTTCAAGCCGGTTGCTGTGGGCTGCTCTGGAGGGAGCTTACCACCACTTTGGCCTTTCACACGTGCGGCTAAGAAAGGAAGTTGTCGCCCTTCATAGATAGATATGAAGGGAAAAAGGTTTGTGTAACAAGAATATAAAGTATTTCCTATTCTTCTGTCGCGTATCCTTGGACTCCGTCGGCGTTGGACACGACGAGGCTCCCTGAGGAATCACCAACAAATGAGTTGAGTGAAATAATTGGAGTGTGTCAACTAGTAGAGTAGCGCTTGCGTACACAAAAGGTGTTGTGGGGGAAAGGAGGTGAGTACTCCTTTTATCTGCGAGCGCTGTTCAATTCAGAGTTGCTGCGCGCTGCTTCAACAGGAGTCCGTCTGCCCTCTTTTGAAGGCGGCAACGGAACCTCACTGCTGGTTTCCAACAAAAAAGACTCAATACCAACGTCAATTCACACTTTAAAAAATAACCATATCTTTTTAATTAGATGCCCGCTCTTCTCCTATCTAGAGTAGACAGACGTATCTGTCACGACCTGAATTCATTTGAAGTTTTTGATGGACATTGTCATTGCTCAAAGGCTGTTGTGACGATTACAGCATCGACTATTGTGATATTAAATATTTTGAGGGGGACTTCTGAAGTTTTGTTGCGTCTGACGACGTTTAGACGATACAATTTCGTTCGAATGGGCAGTGCGCAGGCAGTTTTCGCCAAGTCGGTTTGTCAGTGATTAGTGTGTGTCACCTTATAAACCTTCTCTTTATTTGAACCAAGGGTAAATGCAACATGTTAAAGTCAATTGGTATAACTACTGAAAACCACGCCGTCTGTGTCTTCTGCAGGCTTGTAGAAAAGAAAAGGTGCCTCACTCGCTTGAACTTCCCCATTACTTCCCTCTCCACCACCGTTTTCACCTCCCTCCATCACCTCGTCATCTCCTGCAACAATGTCCTGCCGATTCATACCATCCGGATCCCGTCCCTCTACCTCCATCAACAACATGCGCGAATGCATCAACCACTGCGCATCAACCGCTCTCAACCCTGAATTCGGAACCAACGCCGGCATCACCTCCATCTCCTCAACAGATCTCACCCTCGCCTGTTTCTGTATAGAACGTCCCATAACTATGGGTACCCCGG